ATATACATACTTTATTTGTAACTTTCCATCGTGCCTTTTGTGGATAATCGTTTATTTCAATTTCAACACTATATTCGGCTGTATTTTCCGTCTTATCAGCTTCAGAAACATTGCCATGTACAGGGTTATCTTTAAATCTTGCGTTAATATCTGCAATAATATCTTTAGCTCTTTGAACACCACTAGTTCCAACACTAGCATTAACGCGAGCAGCAGCTTCCTGTGCGGCTCTAAGAGCTATACATGAAAAAAAAAATAAATAAATAAATATTTACATTCATTTGAAAAATAAACTTGTATATAAAATTTAAAAAATCCTACCAGCAACTGCTGTATGGTTTGATTCAGATGATATGGGAGCAGTGGAAGCAGCAGCAGTAGCAGTAGTAGCAGTAGATGAGCTAGCAACAGCGGGTGAAGAAACTTTTTGAACCGGATTTGTAGCAATTTGTTCAGCTTCTTCTTTCTTAATAGTAGGAAGTATTGGATGTTCTTCATCTTCAACTTCTTCTTCTGATGTATCATCATCAACATCTCCATATGTCTAAAAAAAATTTTAATTATTATTTACCTTCTAATATAATCACTAGGAGGTGCACCATCAAATTTAAACTCTTCATTACAAATGACATTTTGTTCATAGTTAATAATGACAATATGTCCCCAATGCTGTTCTGTTTTGCATCCTACAAACAAGAATTCATTAGAAGAATTGATGGGAGTAGAATCAAGGGTAGTTTGAACCCATTTATCAGGCAAAAGTTTTTCTTTCACTGGATAAGCTGGAACTCTGAATCCATAAACGGGCATGTTGTCTGTTCTTAATAACAATCTTGCAATTTTATCTTTTTCTTTACCTAAAAAAAATTATATTTTTAAAAGAAAATTATTATTATTATTATCTATAGATATGATGCTTATAATTGATAATATATATTAATGAGTAATTATACTTCTTTCAAAGGACTTTATAAGCCTTCCTTTGACATTTCCATTGGTTAAGTCAACTGTTAAAAACTGTTCCAACTTGTTGAACCATTGATTAATTATACATTTAACTCCAAATATTCTGTTAAAAGCAGTAAGGTTTATCCTGGTTTCATTATCAACAGGTTTGCCTGATACACCAAATAAACTTCCACCAAATGACGAGATTCCAACAACAACAATTCTTTTTATTTTACTTTTGTTCTATAGTTAAATAGATAAATTAAATATATAATTTGAATAATGATGAATATAATGAATATGATGATGATAATGATAAATCACAC